GGGCCTGGTTTTGAAGTGATATTTGATGAAATCTATAACCTTAAGAGTTTCAAGTTTGTGCTCTGTAAGATGAGACTAGCCATACGAACAATTCCTGTCATTCCCAAAACTGTTTTTCTGGCTTTCATATTGAAATCTCCTGGGCCTCCAGGCTTCTACCATCCTAAGCCTTTGCTACTTGCTGCTCTCCCCAGTTTCAATTCCTTCTCACTTCTACTTGATGGCAGCTTTAATCGATGAACTCCAGTTTATTTTTTCCACTAACTTAAAAATTTTTTTTTTTTTAATTTGTGTGGGTACATACTAGGTGTATATATTTATGAGGTACATGAGATGTTTTAATACATTGCATGCATTGCATAATAATCACATCATGGTAAATGGGGTATCTATCTCCTCAAGTATTTATCCTTTGTGTTACAAACAATCCAATTCTACTCTTATTTTTTAAATGTATAATTTCTATTTTTTGGGGGGGCCTGTTCCACCACATCATTCAATTATCCCACTCCTGGGTTTAAATCCAAGCATTGTTAACAAAATAGTGAGTTTATGAAACATTTTATTGGAAGTGTATTTTATATTTCTTAATCTAAAATCTATTGTTTTTTTCCCTGTGAAAATATAAAGTATTTTGCACTACTTCCTAGGATTTGATATAATGTACTGAAATCTAAATTTTACTTCAGATTAATGTTAGCCAAACTAATTTGTTAATATCATTTAATGATGTCAATATTTAAATGTTTTTTTCTACATTTACATCTTTTTTTAAATAGCATTATTGAAATATAATTCACATACCATATATTGTCACCCCTTTGAAGTGTACAATTTAATGTTTTTTGGTATATTCACAATATGTACAACTGTCACCGCAGTCAATTTTAGAATATTTTCATCACCTCAACAAGAAACCCTGTACCCTTTAGCTATCACCTCTTGGCCCCCATCTCTCCCACTCCGAAGCAACCACTAATTTACTTTCTGTCCCTGTAGATTTGCCTATTCTGGATATTTCATATCAATGGAATCATACAATATGTGGTCTTTTATGACTAACTTCTTTCACTGAGCATATTTTCAAGGATCAACTTTGTTATAACATGTATCAGTACTTTATTCCTATTTATGGTTGAATAGTCCATTGTGACGTTATACCACATTTTGTTTATTCATTCAACAGCTCATGAACGTTTAGATTGTTTCTATAGTTTGGCTATTATGAATTATGCTGCTATAAAAATTTGAGTATGACATTTTGTATTTATATATGTTTTCATTTTTCTTGGGTATATACCTGGGAGCACAATTGCTAGGTCATATGGTAACTCTATGTTTAAACTTCTCAGGAACTTCTCGACTTTTACAAACTGGCTGTACTCCTTTACATTCCCACCAGCAGGGTACAAGCACTCTTATTTCTTCACATCCTGGGCGACATTTATTATTATTATTTGACATTTTTATTCTAGCCATCCTATGGGTATGAAATAGTGACTCATTGTGGTTTTGATTGTGGATTTGATACTCTTCTTTCTTTAAAGAGTAACAATGCTGAACATGCATTCATGTGCTTATTGGTCATTTGTATATTTTCATAGATCTATTTAGTTCCCTTGCCCATTTTTAATTGAATTATTTGTCTTTTTATTATTGAATTGTCTGTGTTCTTTATACAGGTGACCCTTGAGCAATGTGGGGGTTAAGGGTGCTGACCTACTGTGCAGCTGGAAATCCATATACATAACTTTTGTTTCCCCCACATTTAACTACTAATAGCCTACTGTTTGACTGGAAGCCTTACTGATAACATCAGTGGTCAATTAACACATATTTCATATGTTATATACTGTATTCTTACAATAAATAAGCTAGAGAAAAGAAAATGTTATTAAGAAAATCATAAGGCAGAGAATATATTTACTATCCATTATGTGGAAGTGGATCATTATAAAGGTCTTTATAGCAACACAAATGAACTAAGACAGTGTGGTACTTCCATAAGAATAGACATGTAGATCAACAAAATAGAGGAGAGTTTAGTCTCAGGGGTGGCAGAGGTGGAAGAAAATCTGCCTATAAGTGTATTTGTGTAGTTCAAACCTATGTTGTCCAATGGTCAACTGTGTATTCTAGATAAAAGTCCCTTATTAGACATATGATTTGCCGATATTTTCTCCCATTCTGTAGGCCGTCTTTTTACTTTCTTGATAGTGTTCTTTGTAGCCCAAAAGATTTTTTTAATTTTGATGAAGTCAAATGTAATTGTTTTTTCTTTTGTTGTTTGCCCTTTTGATGTCTTATTTAAGAAATCATTGCCTAATCCAAGGTTACGAACATTTTCCCCCGTTTTCATCTAACAGTTTTATGATTTTAGCTCTTACATCTAAGACTTTGATCTATTTTTCATTAATTTTTAATAGGGTGCAAAGTAGAGGTCCAAATAATATTTTTTTTTCCCATGGAGACATCCAGGTGTCTCAACATGATTTGTTGAAAAGGCTATTATTTTTATATTGAATATCCTTGAAACCCTTGTCAAAATCAGTTGACCACAGGACAGATATATGGATTTATTGCTGGATTCTCATTTCTATTCTGTTATGTTTAGTTGGTTTATAGTATTTTCTTTGTCTTGTATTATTGATCTTCTGCCTAGATTTTCTATCTGTTAGTGCAAGGAGTTATTGAAGTGTCCAACTACTATTGTTGAATTATCTGGTTCTTGTACTATTTCTGTCAGGTTTTGTTTTACATATTTTAGTACTCAGAAATTAAGTGCATACATGATTATAATTGTTATATCTTCCTGATGGATTAATATTTTTATCATTATAAAATGATCCTGTATATCTTAGTAATTAGTTTTTTTGTTTGTTTTAATGTCTATTTTGACTGGCTGTCTTATGGTTGCTACTTGTATGATATATCTTTTTCCATCCCTTTACATTCAATCTAGTTGTATCTTTGAATCTAAAGGATACCTCTTATACACAGTATATGGTTGGATCTTTTCAATCCAGTCAGACCTTCTCTGCTTTCTGATTAAATCATTTAATCTATTTACATTTAATTTTATTTTTGATGTGGTTAGATTTATATCTGCCATTTTGCTTTCTGTTTTCTATATGCCTCAAGTCTTTTTTGTTCCTCTATCCCTCTTTTACTGCTTTCTTTTTCATTAAGTAAATATTCCTCATGTAATATTTTACTTTAATAACTTTACTACTTATGTTTCTTTAGTGGTTGCTCTAGGATTTACCATGTACATCTTATCATTGGTTTCAGAGTTATACTAACTTAATGCCAGTGAGATATAGAAATGTTTCTCCTATGTAGCTCTGTTCCCTTTTCCCCCTTTTTGTGATATTACTGTCATATATATTACATCAAAAACGTTTTAAACCCAAGAATATATTGTTATAATTATTGCTTTATATAATTTTAAGACTCTTAAGAAGCTGAAAGAAGAAAGGAAAATATATATTATAACTTTTGTTATTTTAACATTGTTTATCATTTCTGGTTTTCTTCATTTGTTCCTGTGGATTTGAATTACCAACTGGAGTCGTTTCTTTAGTCCCATACACTTTGCTCTTATCCACCTCATTTCTTCTGTTATTGGGAAATATATTACATTTCTCTATGTTGTATGCCCAGCAATACACTATATACATATTTTTATACAGTTGCCTTTTACATCTTTTAACAAAAGAAAGAAGCGGTAATTTTCATTTATACTGTCTTTTCTCATTACATATTTATTTTTACTTATGCTGCTTTGTCATGTGGATTCAGATTACCATGCATTTAGATTATAAGTCAGTATTTTGTATCTAAGCCTTTGCTATTCTCTCCTATTCCAAGTTTCAATTGAAACTCCAACTTTTACTTCACAGCAGCTTTCTTTTGATCTATTACCTTCAATTTTATTTGACCTGTTTCATATTACCCTGTAATTTCACTCTTAGCTTTGAAATCCAAATGAAAACAAAATAGTGAATTTAAACAGTACTTTTATTTGAAATTCAGCTTTTGTTTCTTAATCTTGAAAAGGAAATTTTTGTTCATGAAAAACTAAAATGAGATGTTTTAGTCCACTTCCTCTGCCTTGAATATAATGTTCTGGAATTTAAATTTTCCTTCAGATTAACATTAGTCAAAATAAATTCCTAATGTCATTTTAATAATACTAATATTTAAACATCAGCCTACATTTAGATATCAAATTAGTAATTTACAGCCCACATTTCATTGAAGACCAGTAAACTTGACCAGAGATAAAGGAGGAGAAGAAGGGGCTCAGAAAAGAGGATGTAAGCAATACCAGCTGTCAATGAGGAGAGGGGTGGTCAGACAAGGGGAGAGTGAGTGGTTAGAAACTTCACCTGGCTGTCCTTAGATTGACACTTTGAAATACTATTTTGTAGTCATTTTGGCTAATAGTCATTTTTACCTGTATGAGTCATTTGGGCTAATTTTAAGAATCCACTTTTAGACTTTAGCTGAAACCAACATAAATACTGCTTTTGCTAGGTTCAACCCAGTTCAATTTTCATTTAAATTCAAAAGACTCCACTGAAAATTTTCCAGTAAACACTGTAACTACTACTTTCACCTCTCTCTTCATTTAGCACTCAATAGCAGTGTTTTCCAGTATTAATATGGCAAAACTTTATGAAATTTATTTCATATTTTAGCTCTAACCTAAGCAAATCTAGTATCAAAATAGATGCTGAAATGATTTAGTGCATTGATTTCAGCGCACAATTTATTCACTCACTTTCCATAGATTAGAGAATAGCTTTGAATTGAACACAACCTCATTTTCATTTTGCTCTTTTAAAGAAAAGACTGTTGTAAGAGACTTAGGTGAAGTAATAGTAATGGAGTAGGAAGTAGATACTAAGAGGCTATGTGTCCAAGAAATCAGCCTAAATTTTGGAAAAACCTTTGATGAACCAAACTGTAATGCTTCCCATCTTTCTTCTGGCCAGGATATCCATTACCAAAACTTGACATGAACTTCTCATTGGAGAATAGAGAAGAGCCATGGGTGAAGGAATTACAGGATTCTAAAGAAATGAAACAATTACTTGATTCCAAGATAGGTAAGTAATTGTTCTTTGATATACTAGGGGAAAAAAAAAAAAGAAAAATATAACCTAAATAAAGATAAAGAGTTTGGAATTCTATTTAGGAATTTCTATGTTCCTACCACTGGTTTAACATAACTCTTCATTTTCCTTCACTTTCTTTTCTCCGTGGAACACAATATCATCTGCAGTTTCTATTTCTTTTCTCAGGTTTTGAGATCGGGATAGAAAATGAAGAAGATACTTCAAAACAGAAAAAAATGGAGACTATGTATCCATTTATTGTAACTTTAGAGGGGAATGCTCTCCAGGGTCCCATTTTGCAAAAAGACTATGTACAGTTAGAAAATCAATGGGAAACCCCCCCAGAGGATTTACAGACAGATTTAGCAAAACTGGTAGATCAGCAGAACCCCACTCTGGGAGAGACACCTGAGAACTCCAACTTGGAAGAACCTCTCAACCCCAAACCCCATAAGAAAAAGAGTCCAGGAGAGAAACCTCACCGATGTCCTCAGTGTGGAAAATGTTTTGCTCGGAAGTCACAACTTACTGGGCATCAGAGAATTCATTCAGGAGAAGAACCTCACAAATGCCCTGAATGTGGGAAAAGATTCCTTCGTAGTTCAGACCTTTATAGACACCAACGACTTCATACAGGGGAGAGACCCTATGAATGCACTGTATGTAAAAAGCGATTCACTCGGCGGTCACATCTTATAGGGCACCAGAGAACCCATTCTGAAGAAGAAACATATAAATGTCTTGAGTGTGGGAAAAGTTTTTGTCATGGATCAAGTCTTAAAAGACATCTGAAAACTCATACAGGTGAAAAACCTCATAGATGTCATAATTGTGGGAAAAGTTTTAGTCGACTGACAGCTCTTACTTTGCACCAGAGAACGCATACTGAAGAGAGACCTTTTAAGTGTAATTATTGTGGGAAAAGTTTTAGACAGAGACCAAGCCTCGTTATTCATTTGAGAATCCACACAGGGGAGAAGCCATACAAGTGTACTCATTGTTCTAAAAGCTTCAGACAGAGAGCTGGCCTTATTATGCACCAGGTCACTCACTTTAGAGGACTTATTTAAGAATCGCTGAAACAGGTCCTACACAAATTGACACTAACTCAAAAAAAATCTTAACCTGCAGCAGGCTGTTTGTCTTGGAAGCTTTTGTTTGAGCTTATAAGATAGACAGCTATTTTTTTTTTTTTTTGCTAGTTTTAAAACCCATCTTCCAAGCTATATGAATTTTAGAGTATTTATCTATTCTTGTGATTTTCTTAGATTTGATTTCTTCTGTCTGCACAACTCTTCTTTTTTTAATTACAATGAAAAATTTTGTGTTCCAAGGCAACTGTATCATAGGTGTAAACATAAAGCATATAAATTATGACAATCCTTTTAGAGGTAGGGTCAATATAGTGGATAAACATGTCTATCAGATGTATTGATTATAGCAGTACTATAGTTATTCTGCTGTCATTATTAAAGATGATTATATTCATTCAAAGCTTTAGATGTGTCCCATGTGGCAAGAAAGGAGACAGTGAATTTTGTCAAACAATAAAAATGTGTCAGGAACACAAGGATGAAGGGGATGTCATTTGCCTGGTAAGAACTGGGTTATTTCTACTGAAATTTTTTATGTTTAAAGAAATTAAGATTTTAACCTTTACTTTTGAATTTTGCAAAGTTTGCTAGTCTGCTTAGTCAGCAGTCTGTGGTAATGCTGCTAAAAGCAGAGTATTAATCTGGTAATTTATTTTGTTCACAGAATAAGTAAGCTCTATGTCTGGAAGAATCCATTTGGCAATTGAAATTATACAAGCAGGATCTAATTTAATTTTGATTGACTGAAGAACCAGGGTCTTTTGCTCTCCTTTGGTATTTCACTCTCCTTTGGTATTCAATCATGTGTCTTTCAGTGCTTTTTAAAATTTTACCCATTCTTTAATTTAGTGTCTCCATATGTGTGTGTCATGGAATACTTAGTTCTGCTAGATATTCTGCAAATATATTTGGGAATTGCTTCCTGCTGTTTCGCCTTTTTAGATTCATAGTGCACATCAGCATGTGAGAATCTCTGAGAGGTCTTCTAGAAAGGAGAGAAAAAGCACCTCTTTTGGCTCAATGTTTTCCAAACTTATTTGACCCCAAAACCTTTTTCATATACCCAATAATAAGCTACAGAAATAATAATCTGCAAATGTCTCTTGGAACACACTGCCTTAAACAGATATTTCTATAGCTATCAGTATAGTTAAGTTGCTCCCAAGCCTAGTTATCTCCAGTTGTTTTAAGGGTGTTATGAAAAATTCTTAAAATATATATGAATTTGTATAACACACACAGAGACACACACACACATATACATACATACTACTTTAAGGGGGTGAGGGTCACTAATTCAGATAATTTTTAAGTTGCCTAGTGATTCTCAATCTCTTTGAATTTTACTTATATTTACACACACACACACACACGTATATACACATATCATTTTAAGAAGGTGAGGATCACTAATTCAGATAATTTATAAGTTGCCCAGTGATTCTCAACCTCTTTGAATTTTACTTATAATTACATACACACACACACACACACGCACGCACACACGTTGCTACTTATATAAATGTTCTCATGTAATCATGGTAACAGCTCAAATTCCCAAAGCAAGGGAAGACTTCTCACTGTCAGTTAAACCTGTTAAAACATGAAAATATTCATTGAGCCTCGTTCCTTGTTATAAAATACAAGAAATAGGACATTCAAGCATTTTCCCTTTATGAAGATACTCAGTCATTCTTTCCTTAAACTACAATTAGGGAAAGTATATCTCTTCTATTCCTTTGAAGTTCTCGAAAGTGATGTAAGTACTTTGGGGGTATCTACTATGTGCCTAACTAGTCCTAGTCCTGTTCTAGGCTTAGTGGAAGCTAGTAAAGAAATGTAATTCATGGATCAGGCTCATAAAGATTTATAATATTTTTAGTTAAACTAGAGTTGGGAAACAGGTGGAGAAAAATGCAAGAGAGTTTGTAATTAAGTGCCAATTATACCAATTGCTAGACCTAGGATGTATCTTTAATTCTTGTCATCCAGGTCCTTGTGTGATGCTGCTATAAGTCTGGGGCTCAAACTGATATCCCAGTAGCAATAAACGTATAATATGGGAGGAGTCCGAATGTAGAGATGAAAAATACAGAATGTAATGGCTTCTCTTTTCTCTCTTGTGGAATTGCATTCAAACCAGAACAGTGCCTTAGAATGAATGTGCCCAACTGCTCTGTATTTATGCAATATTTTAATAAAGCAGAAATGTATGTGCTCTTCCTGCTTCACTTGCACTAATTAATTTTTTGAACAACTTAGAGCTTCTTCCCTGAACAGTGGCAACAAGCATGGCAATTGACTCCTGTCCTCATCCCAAGTTGGAATTGCTTTTCTCTCTGCAACCATGGCACTGTGATTATGCATCATTTTTAGCATTTAATACAGTCCATTTTTGGCGAGTAGGGTTAGTTGCAATCATAATATGAGTTGTATCCTCCCTCTCATTTATATCAAGTATACTTGACTAGATTTTTACAAGTTAGAGAATGTCTAATATTCTTTTTTACAGTGCCCTATATATAAGAATTAATACATATTTGTGGCATTGAATCAAGAAACATGTGAAATAGTTCTTGGAAACAGATAACATATTTAGAACATTGCATGGATAATTATACTTCTATGCCTAATTGTACTTCTGAGCATTTCAAAAAGATAAGGGCAAAATATGGTACCTATCTCCTAGCTATTATAAAGGGGAAAATACAGTACCTACCTCAAAAGTACTATGAAGATTAAATGAAATATATTTTGCTCTGGCCCTAAACACTGTAAGCTTTCAATAAATATCCCCCATGTTATATTCTCATTCTTTGTAGTTTAATGATAAAAGCATTTAAAGCTATAGATTTCTTTTCTTTATGGCTTTGGACATCATAACTTTTATATGTAATGTTCTTATTGATTATTTCAAAATTGTTGTTTTCATTATAATTCCTCTTTGACTTAAGAGATGTACAACGTTGCCATTTTCCTCTTAATTTTTGGTTTTACTACATTGTGATTAGTCTGGGCCCAGCCCCCTGCTTCTTTAATAGTCCTCTGTAACAGATGTGAAATGGATTGGTAAGAGAGCTCATCTCTTAGCGTCTCCTTAGCATTGATAATCAGTTTACTCAGTTCCCAATCCCTGAGACTTTAACCGCTGGGATTGGAAGTGGTGGTAAATCTCTTTCTCCTGGAGTGATATATAGGTTAGCCTCTATCCAGCTTTTTGTGCCTTGTCAGAAAGGACTTCTCAGAGTCCTAGCACGACCTAAGTTTACATTTCCTAAGAATTCTAAGATAGTAAAAATTACTAAAATATTGATATATTTTAAATATTTACATTTAATGAACATCTTTATCACCTAATACAAGAATATAAATGTATTAATTACTGAAGATAACTTCAAAACTCTAAAATGTGAGGCCTTTCCTGAAAATCAGACCTTACCTGTTGGCCCTAGAAGAGATCTGTTTACCTCTACTTTGAAGTGTATTCTACAGTAATTCTTCAGCCACCTCTTCTCAACTAGATTCCTTTCCTATGAAAGTAGAGGGTGAGCAGTGAAGAACTAGAGGCCCTTCATCTTAGCCTGGAGTGAAAGGAAACACTTGTACTGCCTTATCTCCCGAGAAGTACAATTTATCTTGGGAAGACTAGAGTCCCTTTTCCTAAGATGTTACTTACATGCTGCTGTAACACACACACACACCCCCCACACACACACGAGTATAGGGTATAGGGAATAGGGAAGAGAAAAAGATGTGTGTGTGTGTGTGTGTGTGTGTGTGTGTGTGTGTATTTTAGACGAAGTTTTGCTCTGTCGCCCAGGCTGGAGTGCAGTGGCATGATCTTGGCTCACTGCAACCTCTGTCTCCTGGGTTCAAGCAATTCTCCCTCCCTCAGCCTCCCAAGTAACTGGGATTACAGGTGCCCGCCACCATGGCTGACTAATTTTTGTATTTTTAGTGGGATAGGATTTCACCATGTTGGCCAGGCTGGTCTCGAACTCCTGGGCTCAAGTGATCTGCCTGCCTCGGCCTCCCAAAGTGCTGGGATTACAGGCATGAGCCACCGTGCCAGACCAGAAGTGTACAATTCTTAACCCCAATTCCTCCATTTTCAAGCAGAGAGATGGTATAATTAACACTGAGAAGTTCTATGTTTACCAAACAAATGACCTTGACAAAGTCTCCAAGTCTTGATTTCTTTACCTGTTTTGGGAATTTTAAAGTATACCCTCAAATTATTTTCCCATAAAAAATGGAGTCTCTGTCCCCTGCCCTTGAATCTGGGCAGGCTTGAGACTGCTACTAAAGGAATAAGTGATACTCTGTTACTTCTTTTTTTTTTTTTTTTTTTGAGACGGAGTCTGGCTCTGTCGCCCAGGCTGGAGTGCAGTGGCCGGATCTCAGCTCACTGCAAGCTCCGCCTCCCGGGTTCCCGCCATTCTCCTGACCTCGTGATCCGCCCGTCTCGGCCTCCCAAAGTGCTGGGATTACAGGCTTGAGCCACCGCGCCCGGCCTACTCTGTTACTTCTGAGGTGGGGTCATAAAAGACGTAGCTTCCATCTTGTTCAGTAGAAGCACTTGCTCTTGGATCCCATGTAGGAAGTCTGATCAATATGGAGAGGCACCTATAGGCTGTCTGGTGGTTATTCTGAACTGAGCTTGTTCTTCAGCCACCTCGGCCATCTCATTTTGTCTTAGAAGTGGATCCTTCAGCTCTAGCAGTTGCAACCCCAAAACATTTGAGTCATCCTAGCTGAGGCCCTACATATCTTGGGTAGAGAAGAGCCATCCCCCTGTGCCCTGTCCACATTCCTAACTCACATAATTTGAAAGCATAATAATATGGCTACTGTTTTGCACTGTTGAACTTTGGAGTGGTTTGTTACACAGCAGTAAAGAGTGGTAATATCTTTAAAGCAGATATAACATTTGGTAAGATGAACAACTGGGAAACAGACACTAAAGCATTTAGAAAACAGACCTATAAATAGCTAATGGGTATATGCTCAACATCACTAATCATCAGGAAAATGCAAACTAAAATGACAATGAGATATCATGTCACACCTGTTAGAATGGCTGTTATCCAACAGCAACAACAAAACAAGATAACAAGTGTTGGTGAAGATGTGAGAAAAAAGGACCCTTCTATATTCTAGGTGGGAATGTGAATTGGTACAGCCATTATAGTAAACAATATTGAGATTTCTCAAAAAATTAAAAATAGAACTATCTGATCCATCAATACCACTTCTGCATATATATTTAATTAAAATCAGTATCCCAAAGAGATATTTACACTACCATGTTCATTTGAGCACTTTTCACAATAGCTAAGATATAAAATCAATCTTAGTGTATATAGACTGATAAATGGATGAAGAAAATGTGAGATATGTATGCAGGGATTTTGTTGTATTGTGCCTCACTTTATTGTGTTTTAAAGATACGGCGTTTTTGACAAATTGCAGATTTGTCGCAACCCAGATTTGTGGCAAAAACGTGCTCACTTTGTGTCTCTTTGTCACGTTTTGGTAATTCTCACAGTATATCAATTTGTTTCATTATTACTATATCTGTTATGGTGATCTGTGATCAATAATCTTTAATGTTAGTACTGTAATTGGGGGTGTGTATTAGTCTGTTCTCACCCTGCTATAAAGATGCTACCTGAGACTGGGTAATTTGTAAACAAAAGAGATTCAGTTGACTCACAGTTCCACATGGCTTAGGAGGCCTCAGGAAACTTACAATCATGGTGGAAGAGGTAGGAGAAGCAAGTACCTTCTTCAGAAGGCAGCAGGAGAGAGAGTGCAGAAGGCAAATGGTAGACACTTATCAAACAACCAGATCTCCTGAGAATGCCCTCATTATCACAAGAACAGCATGGGGGAAACTGCCCCCATGGTCCAATCACTTCCCACAAGGTCCCTCCCTCAACACATGGGGATTACAATTCAAGATGAGGTTTGTGTGGGGACACAGAGCCAAGTCATATTATTTCACCCCTGGCCCCTCCCAAATCTCATGTCTTTTTCATATTTCAAAACAAATCATGCCTTTCCAACAGTCTCCCAAAGTCTTAACTCATTCCAGCATTAACTCAAGAGTTAAGTCCAAAGTCTCATCTGAGACAAGGCAAAGCCCTTCTTATGCTTATGAGCCTGTAAAATCAAAAGCAAGTTACTTACTTCCAAAATATAATGGGGGTATCTTGGGTATTACAGTTACGTAAATGTTCCCATTTCACGTAGGAGAAATTGGCCAAAAAAAGGGGCCCAGGCCCCATGCAAGTCTGAAACCCAGCAGGGCAGTCATTATATGTTAAAGCTCCAAAATGATCTCCTCTGACTCCATGTCCCATTATCAAAAGCATGCTGATGCAAGGGGTGGGCTCCTACAGCCTTGAGCAGCTCTGCTTCTGTGACTCTAGAGGGTACAACTTCCATGGCTGCCTTCATGAGTTGGTATTGAATGCCTGAGGCTTTTCCAGGTGCATGGTGCAAGCTATCAGTGAATCTACCTTTCTGAGGTCTGGAAGATAGTGGGCCTCTTCTCACAGCCCCACTAGGCAATGCCCCAGTGGGGCCTCTGTGTGGGGGTTCCAATCCCATATTTCCATTCCACACTGCCCTAGTAGAGGTTTTCTATGAGGGCTCTGCCCCTGCAGCACAATTCTGCCTGGACATCCAGGCATTTCCATATATCTTCTGAAATCTAGGCAGAAGTTCCCAAGCTCAACTCTTGTCTTCTGTGCACCTGAAGGCCCAACACCAAGTGGAAGCCACCAAGGCTTTGGGCTTGCACCCTCTGAAGCAATGGCCCTAGCTGTACCTTAGCCCCCTTTAGCCACAGCTGGAGCTGGAGCAACTGGGACACGGGGCACCAAGTCCTGAAGTGGCACAGAGCAATGGGGCCCTTGGCCCAGCCCATGAAGCCATGTTTTCCTCCTAGGCCTCTGGGCCTGTGATGGGAAGGGGGGCCTTCAAGATCTCTGATATGCCCTGGAGACATTTTCTTCATTGTCTTGGCTGTTAACATTCGACTCCTTGTTACTTATGCAAATTTCTGTAGCCAGCTTGAATTCCTTCCCAAAAAATGGGTTTTTCTTTTCTACCAAATGGTCAGGCTGCAAATTTTTCAAACATTTATGCTTTGCTTCCCTTTTAAATGTAACTTCCTATTTTAAATCATCTCTGTGAACACATATAACTGTACGCTTTCAGGAAAAGCCAGGTCATATCTTGAATGCTTTGCTGCTTAGAAATTTCTTCTGCCAGATACCCTATGTCATCTCTCTCAAATGCAAAGCTCCACAGATGTCTAGGGCAGGGACAAAATGCCACCAGTCTCTTTTCTAAAGCATAGCAAGAGTGAATTAAACCTCTTTTCTTTATAAATTACCCAGTCTCAGATATTTCTTTATAGCAGTGTGAGGACAGAGTAATACAAAGGTTGAGGTCATTAAGAGACCACAAGCATGAAAATGAAAATGACTACTATAAAAGGCATGAAAATGAACATTAGAATAAAGGTGAAGTTAGGTATAACACAACAAACATAAAGATGACCACTGGAAAAGTTAAGATAGCATGTGAGACTTCAAGTGTAATGATGACTGCTGAAACAATGTCAGTGTTCAAAGTATG